ATGAAACTTACCTTGAAATAAAATAGAAAAGGTCTTTTACATAATTGCAATACTGTAGTTGGTGAATGAGTTGAAATATTTCTCCTCATTTAATGGAACTTAATTAGAATTAGGAATGAAATAGCTGTGCTTATGCTGAGGTATTTTAAAATGTGTAAGAAATAAGCACAATGATACCAATGCAATATGAACAAAATCATCCTATTCATGTCCTACATCAAGGCCTAGGAAGAGAATTTCCTTCTGTTTCTAAAAGTACCTATAGCATAACACAGACCTGCAACACTGGAAATTAAATTCTGGTATTACTATATACAGCTTCCTGTTGGAAGCATTAGTATTAATCTGAGATTATTCAGAGATTATGTGACTGTTTCCAGCTTTAAAATCTAGATCTGTCCAGTTCCTTTTTTTAAAAAGCACTATGTAGCCATGGTTCAATTAAGAGCTGATTAAAGCTACACATGAGCAGAAGAAATAAGCAAATGCATCAATTTGATAGGTATGCAGGTGCAAATTTAGCATGAGGGGCACAGAGAGGGCAAAGACTCTGATAATGGGTATTTGTAGGAAATGAGTTGGGAACAGGGATAACAGATAATGGGATGACATTCTTTTCATGAGGTGCAAGAATTCTTAGTTATGTTCCCAAAAGTGGGGTACTGAATGCTGACAGATCACAAGGGGCTGTGTTGACTAAGTTTACTTCTCAGATCATCAATAGCAAACAGAATGAATGCACACACGAGTTGGGAGATATTTGAAGGTTATGAGAAACATACATATTTATCAGTGCAGTTCACAAGTAAGACATTAAGGCTACTAAAGAGTTCTAGTTGTTGTAATCAGCTGAAATTTGTTCTGCTCAAAGCAATATTCTGTATCTAGCTGCTAGAAAATATACAAGGCAATACTAAATCAAGGTCTGACTCCATCTCGATTCCATGTTGCAGATGTAGAAGGGAGGTTTTGGAAGAATATCAAACATGCAAACAGCCTCTGTATGTATATGTGATTGAGATTCTATGTTTTGCAACATGATTGGACAACCCTTAGGCAGGATCTGGGTTGTCTACACATCAAGTAAGACTATCATAACGGCATCAAGTTGGCATTTTACCTGAGACAGCCAACAATTCACTACTAAGTATCAGTTATGATGAGACTAAAGTGAACTGAAGGAGTAAAAGGAATTAGAATCAGCCTGAAAGACTCTGTATACACTTAGAAATATGGTTAAATTAACTTTATCCCTATACTTCTTAAAAATTCAGATCAAATCTGGACAGAACAAATTACTGAAAGTCTCAGAGTGAGCTAGTACATTCAAACCATTTTTCCAGCTATGATTTTGGAGATTTAAGATTGGCCTACTTGAACATACACAGGACCTTAAGCACAGAACAGACAGACACACGACTGCTTCACAAAAATTATTCAGATGCACTTAACACATACATTCAAAAGCATCATTTGTCTACATCAACACTCAGAATCCCTGTGTAGAAATGGATGCCTGGACAACAAAAGGATTTCAAAATAGGTCCTTGTCTGGAGTATATAAAGACGTTTAAATATCATATTTTCAAGTAGAGTTTAATAGAACAAAGTGTTAGTAAGTAGGACAAGAGTTTCTTTGGCAACGATTTCATCAAACTGATGGGCTTGCTACTTTTTAAGTTTAAAAACTAGCATTAAAGCATCAGTGTGCATAATATTCTCACTCCCTTAACCACAATTACAGCATCTCATACTCCCTTCCCCTGGCTTCATCCCACAATTAACCATGTTTAAAGGTACTTAGACATCAACTTGAACCACAGCTAATTTCAAAACCATAGTTTGAAGGTGGTTGGGTAAATGCCTGGTTGATATTAACCACAGTGCTACCTTAATTCTTCATTACGGTTCAAGTTGCAATACAGAATTCATTCCAGAGAGGAATAGGGAAAGCGAGATCCCACAATTTGTTCCTTAGGACCTCAGTCTCTTAAGAAACCTACATGTTCTCATTTTCTACCTTGTATAAATTCCAGATAGTAGATGGCTCAACATCAAGAGTGAAATACTGACTTCATGACTGATTAAGGGATCAGAAGCACTGAATGTGCACTGGCTACAAGCACTCACACCTCTCTGGTTCATTTATTTATTTATTTATTTATTTATTGAGTGGTATATTTTATGAGACATACATGTGGTACCATTTTATGAAGCAGTATCTTGATCTTTTCTCCTCTTATGCTACTCAGTGTACCAGTGCCAATGTTCTTTGTATAGCAGGGAGGGGTGTGCGTAGAAGCAAGCTGTTCACAGGTCAGTGCATGCTCAATTGCAGTCTGAAATGCAATGGCATAGGCAGTGCTTTCACATCTGTTCAGCCCTTCTCTCCTCCCTCAAGAGCATTTAAATTTGGCCAGGCTAGAGGGCTCAACACATGGCATTTTGTAGTGTTTCAAGACCACTATATGGTGTATGTTTAGGAGATGTACATACAGCCGGACACTATGCATATTCAGAAGCACATCCTAAAGTACAATCAGGCTTACTCCTAAAGCAATCATACCTAGGTTTTTATAAAAAGACAGAATATCCATTTCCAGACTTTTTTTTTCAAGTATATTGACTATAATATGTAGTTTTCGATTTTAGCTGGTTTCTATACCAACTGTAGTTGAAACTCCATTTAGTTCACATGACGAGGGAACCCAGTTAAAGTTTAAGCAAAACTCTTTGTCTAATATTACACCATACTGTATATTCATGCTCACTCCTTTCTTGAGCTGGACTATTTTCTATTTCATCCAAAGCATGTTGAACCTGGCCACACTTAATGCTATCAGAATGTGATCAGTGTTTATGATTTCTCTCCCCAGTGGATGATGGGCATTCCATGGCACAAAAGTTGCATGGAGAAACACATGTAATCACACATAGTTGCAGCTAAACCAATACTGTACTTAGTGTATTTATGCAATATTATGTTACAGCCCAAACTTATTTTTACAATTGTATTGCTTCAGCAGTTCTTATACAGATGTTAACCTATTTTACCCACCCCTATCCACAGTAACACATTAAGCAGTCTTTGAAATTGTACACTGAATGTGACATTTTACATTGAACAGTACCTTAAGTACATGTCCAGCTCATTCAAATACTTGTTTCTTGTTAAGCATTCTAAAAGAAATTCCCTTTTGTAACTGGTGGTACTTTGGATGACAGACAGTTACTTATCTGTTGTAAACATATGTAAGCATGTATCATATCTTGAATTAGATCTCTTCATATAATTCACACTGAAATTCCAGTTCACTAATTGCCATGATTTCAGTTCCTCATGCTTGTATAATATGTTTCGCTAGAAGCTATTTAACAAGAGGAACTGAAACTGTGTCAAGATGCTGTTCTTCATCATGGCTCATTTAGTTAAGTACCCCCTTAATGTGCCTGAATGCTGGTCACTGACATTTCCTTTCATCTATTCAGTCTTTGTGTTACAACCTCTCGGTACATGATAGATATATAAATGAGTAGCAGAAAGACCACAAAGAAATCATCTAAAAGTCCCAAAATTCCAAACAGGGCTTCAGGTAGAAAATCTAGGGGCGATGCCAGATACAACAAAGCTCCCAGCAGGCAGAGGAATATCCTGATGCGGAACATCCAGAAGAGGCCTCCAACAGAAAACATTTCTCTGAATGCATGACGTAGTAATGTGGGCAAATCCATAATCCATTCCATAATCTAAACAAAATGTACAAAACTGATTGTTGGTTTACAATACTAGTTTGGTTTATAAAAGGGGCTTTAAACCTTACTCTTTTGCTATAAAAAGATTCTCCTGTAGGGTAATTTTTCCCCAGTCCAGAGTCCCTGCGGATCAGGGCAGCTCTTTAAATGAGGGAAGATGATCATGGGGGAAGGAGATCACAGACACACACTCAGTTGGGTTTACAAGGCCCACAGTATTCCTTCAATATTACAATTTTTGTTTGCAAACTTGTAATGTGCATGTTAAAGCACATGGGGAAAAAGCATGTTAAGGTTTTTATACCCCAGTCAAAAGTAATATTAATAATTTTAGTTCCAAAGGGCTCAAAATGCCTCACATGTATTAGTTCTTCATCCTTGGTCCTGGTGCAATTAGAAATGCAGCACCTGGTTACAATGCAGAAAATGTACCTGCCAAGTTTCAGAAACCTTTCTAATTAAAAAAAATCATTAAAAATATTTTTACAGACTGCAAAGCAGAACCCTGGCCTAAAGCTGTTCTGCCCACATTCGTTCTTTTTGCCAGCGTATAAGCCTCACACGAGACCAGAACATTCTTTGGTGTGGAAAAAGAAAGGGTGGGCAGAGGGTAGCTACAGGCCCATTATCTCCTTTGCAGTGCAGCCAGCCAGTCAAAATTATACTTTTAAGAAAGAAAAGAGTTCCTCTTGCTTGGTAAGTTCAGGGGGCTGGGAAGGCAGGTGGAACAGGGACAGTTGCCATCGTCAGCAAAATTATTATTATTTTTTTATTATTATTCCCTGATCTTACCAACTCTACCCCCACACATACCGATCTTGGCTGTCCTGAGAATCTCCTGTTATAATCATTGACATCTTGAAGCACCTGTGCTGCATCCTCTTGCCCCTCATTGAAGAGTGGTAAAAATAAAGTTACCTGAATACAACAGACAATCCATCATGAATATTTGCATGCTATCCCCCCACTCTCTCTGCTCCATACAAACTGTTTCCAAGTTGTGACATGCATTTAAAAGGTCAACTAATGATATATTCTAACATAAGAACAAAATTCAACTTCCAGAATGGATGCTATTGTAGAAGTATTCCTGCCAGGCCTCATACAATCACAAGGATCACACGGATTGTTGGGTTCAGGGAAAAATATTACAGTTTAAAACAACAAAATAGCTATAATTATTGAACCACAGACAGCTGAATTAAATAATAAAATACAAATTTAAACTATGAACCAGCACAGATGCAAAGTCTGAAATAGTGCAAAGATCTGAAAGTATTAAAACATGTGTTCTAAAATGTTTAGGAAAATAAAAAGTTCTTCACAGGAGGTATGGCTGCCAGGCAAGCTTCTCTGGAGAGGGCACTACACAGGCAGGGTATGAAAAGGCTCTTATTCTTGTAGCCATCTGCTTTGCTTCTTTTGGCAAATGCCAGAGAAGGATCTTAAGATTGTGCAGATGCATATGGGAGAGATGTTCAGTTAGGTATCCTGCTCCTGTACCAGTTAAAGGGTTTTAAACACTAAAAGCAGCCCTTTGACTTGGGTCCAGAAATGACTGATGGCCAGCGTAGATGCTGAAGTATTGGCAAAATATAATTGTATCACTCAGAGTTAGCTAGCAATTTACCCAGGCTATTTTGCACCAACTGAAAGTTCTGGAATGTTTTCAAAGGAATCACCATTGTAGTAATCCAAACAAGAGCTAAAAACCTTGTTAAACGTTGGGCACTTTATCTGTAAGGACAGTGCGATAGCATTATCCATAACCCAAATGAAACTAGAAATTTAGTCCAAAGGCTAAATATAGCACCTTACCAAAAATGCATCTGGATGGCTGCAGGAAGGAGGCTTAAAGAACCTTTAAACTATTGCTTAAGGTAGCACTTGAAAATATACTGTAAAGTTTTTATCTGGTAGCTTTTAGCACGGGTAAAAGAATATAAATATCCCCAAAGTGGGCTTAATCCATGAAAATCTTTGGCATAATGTGTCAGAGAGTTATCCGGTTTTAGCTGTTTCTGTTGCAAAGATTCCCTTCTGGGATTCATTACATGAGAACAGCTCTCTAATGGAACCCCATGTCTGTAACAAGATTATCTGTCCTTTTCTCTTTCCCACCACGGATCTACTTGGAGAGGCTGTCTCCCACCCCTCCAGAACAGAGTTGCCCAGGGCCTCAAGGGAGAAGGGGAATACCATTCTCCCAGTGACTGCCTTGCACAGATGGAACATCACTGTGGATGATATCTTTAAAGTCTATCATACACCCATCACATTTAAAGGAAAGAGAAATGTTTATAGAATTTGGCTTTCATTTAATATCAGAATATCAGCTTATTACCGTCTGTCTGCAGATGGGGCAATGGATTGCACCTAGCCATGAACCACATCTCCAATACGCAATAATGCAGGAACCTAAAGAGAAGGATACCATTACAAGCTATGTCAAATGGCCACGATCCAAACAGAAGTCACAGTTTGACTGAGTATGGATATACTGGACACTCAGAAATTATAAGTTAACTAAAACCATAATGGTTTTACTCTGTAAGGTGGGCTATAAATCAGACAGACAGACAGACAGACAGACAGAGCTCAAAAATGACGATGGAAAGAAAAGATCCATTTTCCCAACAGGATATTAAATCACCTAAAGTCTTCAGAACTTTTTACAAACAAAACTGAAAATGGTATTCAACTAAATGTTAGGCCAAAACCAACTTAAGCTCCAAAAACAGCTAACTTTTCCCACATAACTAACCTAAGAATTGCTCTTATGCCAATACGCTTATAGTGAATTTCTTTAAGCCAGAAGAAAGGGAGGATTAAAAAATGGACAGCCATTTTGACATATTTTGACATTCTGCAACATCAATTTACCATTTTTAAAAGTTCCAGCATACATATTACAAGTAGTCTCAGCTGGAAAGGATCATCTGAAAAGAATCAATCAAGTGGAATTGCATATCTCTGTAAAATCAGGCCGTGCATTGAGAAGCACCCCTTTTCTGCACAGTATTTGCTCAAGACTTATTATCAAAGTGACGGAACAAAAGAAGTGATCCCCTCCCCCCTTTTTTTGCTTACCACAGAAAAGATGTCCACAGTTTGTTTCAATTGGAAATGTAGCTTGCTGCAAGCACACTGGGCAGGACATGTCAGTATAGAAATGCTGCCTGTCAACAACTACATTCTCCTGGAAGAAGAAATGAAAAATGTAATCTGTTCAAAGCAAAACAAATTCTTTTACCTATTAGAAGCTGCAAATGAACCCAGTTTGCAAGATTAGAAGAAACTGTTCTGGAGAACATATTTCCCTTTATACATGCCCTTATCAGTATGAATAAGAGCAGTCATACATTGGTAGAACATACAGGACAAAATGAAACTCTTGGAATGTGAGAGTTCCTTTTTCAAAAGGTACTTGGAAAAACTGAAATCTCTTTCAGATTCATCTCAAATGTTTTCTTTGGGTGGCCTTTTGATGACCAGTATTAATCTAAGGCAGAAGCATATGACTGACTGGATTTGTTCAATATGGCAACCCATTATGCATAAATAGCCACACTGGTTTGCCATGCTGTCTGAACGCAGACCAGTTTCGGGAGCATGGCTTGTTTGAGGGAACAAGCCACCCTAACTCATGTTTCTTTCAGGGGTTGATCACCCCATAATGTGTTGTCATGTTATCTGAACTCAGGAGACTTAACTCAGCATGGGTTACAGGAAGTGGTCTCACATGTACATATGGCTATTGCCTGCCCACCCAGATGCAATGACTGACAGTCCCTTCAAATTTCTACTTGGGCATCAATACAGCAGTAGTTACTGGTGGCAGCACAGGACTCTGGAAAAACTTTAAAAAGTGAACAAAAACTAGGTCATGATCAGAGTGGAGAGGGGAGACAAGACAGGTTCTGCCATGCAGGAACTTGGACATTGGCAAGAGAATCAGGGAGAAGAAGGAAAAGAACTCATGGCAAGTCTGACTGTGAGTCACAGCATAGGTTGTTCCATGAAGACCATGTATAGCCTATCTGTAAGTTAAGCTGACATGTTGTGTTAACTTGCCCTTTAACTTGTGGTAACTTGCCCTTTAACACCTGCCACCTTTTGGCCTGTTTTTCATTTAAGAGTGACCACTATGAATTAGATGGATCAGCAAAGGGGAGCTTACTGTGTTTCTTATGCTCCTTCTGATTTTAATTGGAAAATAGATATATGAAAATTCAGTGTTTACCTGTAGAAAGCTTTAAAAGTAGGGTGATCAGATACATTTCTTAATCTATAAAATCATTTGTAAAAAACTGAAAACTGAGCTATTATCACTCCTTGGATAAGAAATATGCATCACTGCATGCAAAAAATGACCTAGCAACTATTCATTCTAGTTTAGATATAGCAGCCACTGCTCTTGGGGCCCAACATTCTCTTGTACAAAACTTCAGCAGTTTGAGAACTGTAATGGTTTTACCTAAGGTCATGGTTTTATTTCCCTCTTGTGTATGGATAATGCTGTTCTGTCTCCATAAATACTGGCAGTCACCCTGGACTTGGGGAACAGAGGAAATTTTCATCTTCAACTATTACACTAATTCTCTAACAACCAGATTTGGGCTTCCTGCAAGCAGCTGAGGAACACAGCTCAAATGCATCTATGTCCCGATTGTTACATGATACATTTTCTGATAGTCAACACTGAATACAATTTATGCAAGGAAGAACAGATGGGAAACACAACTAGTACCATACCTGTTCTGACTGTAGTTGCTGTCTAATTGCTCTAACTAGCTCTTGGTTTTCTGGATGAATATCTGGGTGCTCATTTCTGTTAAGGGAAAATAGAGAGTGTGAATAATATTAATAAAACACTTTATTTGACTTTACAAATAAATAAATCAGATATTAGTTCAGTATAGAAGAATATAGTACTGTATGCGTTCCAGCATTCCGAATTCCATTTCATCAGAAGCTTATGTTTTATAAAGTGCTATGCCATTTATCCAACGGAACAGATCAAAATCCCAAGCAAAAGATAAATAATAAACACTGTAAATAAAGATTATTAGAATACTAAAATGAAAGGTTTTTTTTAAACACACTTTGTTAGCTATGAATGATTAACATGAAAATAATAATGACATTACACTGTCCTTTATGTTATTCAAGTATTATACCCAAAGTATTTCTTGTTAAATTTTCCTCAAAATGTTATTCTGGAGATGGGCTGTCTTAAAGCTGGATATGAATGCTGAAGTAGCAGCATCTTAGTAACAAAAAAGGGGTGGAGGTATGTTATGGTTTTACCAATTCAGTAAATGCTTCCAACTTGCTAGTCTAGGTGGGAATTAACATTCTAAATGCCTGACCAGTTATTCAGGTTAAAGCACACGGTTTAAAACCATAGAATAGTAGAGTGGGAAGGGGCCAGAGGACCATCGGGTCCGACCCCTTCCTCAGTGGAGGACTCCAAGTTAAACCATCCCTTTCAAATTGCTATTCAGTTGCATCTTGAAGGTTCTAGTGTGGGAAACCCCACACTTATTTCAACTCAGGAGGATTGAAGATGCTGTGTCTGCTGTCCAGCTTGGTTATTGTTTCAGATAGGCTATATAAGAGTGGCATGCACTCACAAGGCAGGGAAATCCCATTTTATCCAAGCAAATCTTTAAGATACATAAGCAGAAAATAACCGGTCGAGGTCATCAAGCATTTTGGCTGAATGGAGGCTTGAACCAAGGTTTCCCCATCCCAGTTCTATTCACCTGCATGTCTCTTTTCATTACTGCTTTCAAGATGTACAGTTCCAGTAACAGGTTTGTTGTATTGCACAAAATAACAGCATTTATTTTAGATGTATACAATTGACATGTCACAAAAGTAACTCTTCAAGTACTACCACCTTCTCACCTTAAGAGCAGATATGCGAGCGCAGCAAGGAATGTGAAACTGAGTGCTACTGCCAGCAGTACCTGGTCACTTACTCCTTCTATCATTGAATCGTTATCTAGTATCAATCTCTCAACTTCTGCTTCTTGGCTGGCCATTCCAGAGCTGAAAGCCAAGCAACACATCATTAAAGTTGTTCTATATGCACACAAATATTATTCTTGCTTAGCTCATGGTCTGCAAAATAAAAGGGCAAACAAAAATAATATTTTATAGCTCTTCAAACTTTTAGCACAGAGCTTGACTTCCATATGGTTAAAATTAGTTCCAAGGACACCATAATGCCCTCCTATTCACAGCTGAAAGTAGGGACACTCCTGTGTATGAGCAGCTGAGCTAAAAGCAGTGTGACAACCCAACTGCATGGCCAACACAATTCAGACTCAAATGTGGTACAAGTGGAAAGTGGGAAAACCTGCATGTACAGAGGCAGTTAGTTTCATTTTAGAGTGGAGGAATACAGCTGTACTGCATTGATGATCAGGCCAAAACAAGTCACTGAAACAATGGCACAGGATTCTTAAGCAGAAATAAATTATAATAATAAAGTATGCCTCAGAGCACAAGTAGAGGGCTTTTCCCAGTTCACCAAACAGTTACTAGAGATCTGAAGGCCTAAAAAAAGCCCAGAAAAATTCAGGAAAATATTTTTTTCTCCATATTTTGCCATGGACTATTTTTCTTTTTCTGGAAAAAAAGAAAAAGAAAAATTTGAAGGGTGTAAGATGACAAAATATTTTCTTTTAGGATTTAAGACAAGGTGTTTATAACTTTACTCAATCTTTGCTTGCCATAAAATGACTTCTAATACTTCTGTAAGTGAGCACTTTTACAGAAAGACCAGAAATCTAAAACAAGTTGAAATAATGAAGCTACAGGGAAATGTTTAATCTTCTCTGTAAGATTCCAAACATAGTTATTTCTTCCACTCCTTATTAAAATGGAATAGTAAAATATTGACCTGAGGTATATTTTACTGATAGTGATGATGATCATTCTATATTGAGGGTTGGGTTGCACCAAATCATGTTCAGTTTGCCAATGTGTAAGCAGAGTCATCATATCGTAATATAGGAGAAAATGGGCATTCCTGACAGGTTTTTGTTTTGTTCTATAGGGTCCTATACTTCTGGTTGGATGCTCTACCAGTCATTCACTGTAACTCTGATCTAAAACACACATGTGAAAAAAAAAATCCCACTGTAGCTTATTCCATCACTATCAACAGATGCTGTGGAACAGATTGGGCTTTTCTCATCTATGTTTCTTTTTTAATGTTAACTTTGAGGCTTGAGTCTTTAGGATGCACTGCCACAGTTTTTAATTAAGGTCTCATTAAACTTCACCAACAGGGAATGTTGTCTCAGCTATAAAACCTTTTAACTGCTGCCACCAGACTAATCCCACTCCATCTAAAAGATACTCAGTAACCTGATTCCTATGGTTTAGCCATAAGACTGAAAGAGTAAACCTTTCAAAATGACGAAAATAGTTTAGGGAAATTGTTTGAAAAAATGAAATAAATATCAGTCTTTAAATAAAAGGTTAAACTTGCTTAGAAGTTCTTAACTATTCCTAAACAGAATCTTTTCCAGGTAAATAAAATCTCAATAGCTTTTCCATCAGATCTCATTTCCTCTACACTCCACCCCACAAACAAGAACAGTTTTAGGAATTTTCCTAAACTTCCTTACAATCAGGAACAGACACTGTACACCAGTCTTCCTCTACCTCCAGTTCTTCCTGATTTTTTGGCTTCTATGGTGCTGTTTCAAGGACCACTTGCTGAAGTTTCCTTTGGACAGACATAAAAGGGGAACCCAAGGTATGTTATAAATAATCTTTTTTGCACAAAAAATTATCATGTTTGTCATGTTACATTTAGAAGTATAGTTTATTCAGACAATAATTACAAATTTACTGATTGTACTTTTGAAATTTTTAAATGATAATTTTATGAGCAAACCATTTTATACATAAAAAGCTCCAGATATTCTAGACAAAAGAGCCCAGCATTGCTCATCAATGCCCATGTCGCCTGAGATTGATGGGAGCTGAAATCCAAAATAGCTGAATAGCACTGGCTGGAGAAAATTGTCCTATAGCAACCAAGTGACTTTGGATTTTGCAGGAATGCAAGCCTCAAACTCAGAAGGTTATGAGAATCTGATGCAAGGCACAGTAGCAGCAATCACAGCGACTACACCTTACACCCTACATTTTCTTTAGATGGCTACGGCAACAACTGGGAATTATTTTAACTTCCAGCGCCAGCCTCTTCCCCTCCCCATCCCCTGGCATGACCCCTTTCCCTCTATGAGGCCCAGTTGTGATCCTGGGAAGAGAAAGGCAGCTGGTGTAATCCTTTCCATGATCACTGTGAAGGGATAGGCTAGGAACCTGGCCTTCAGGATGGCAGCTGCAAGATCCTAGGATCTCAGAGCTAGGACTCTAAAGAATCCTATGGTCTCTCAGACAATCTTCGAAGGTCATAGGATTGTGCCTAAAAAGTGAACATAAGAACTCAAGAAAAGCCATGCTGGATCAGACCACCCAGTCTAGCACTCTGTTCACATTGTGGCAAACCTGGAACCCATAGGATCTCTCAAGTAGGATGGGTACAAGGGATAGAAAGTAAGTATGGTTTCTTCTTCCATTTCTTTTTCCATTTCCCCAAAATTTCCATTCCCCCACTTACCATTTCCTAGGGCTTCAGAATTTCTAGAAAGTATATATCTGTAATGCTATCCCATTCTCACACACTTAGAATTAAGAAAAAATTCTTGCAGAATGATGGCCTATCTTCTACAGAGATTAAACTCTAGCCCCTCACTCTATAGAAATTAACTGCTGCAGTTAACAGAGAACACACATGTTGTATTCCCTTCAATATAAAAGTCAATTATTTGTTTCCTTTCTCCAGCAACTCTTCACATAGATACCCATATATTCACAATTCTCCTTCCTCCTCCTTTCTTGGCTACAAAAAGATGTCCTTACTTGCTCCTTCTTCAAACTTCAACTTAATTTGTGCTAAGATCTTAGCAGTGCTTAGCCCAGGGACCTGTTTACAATACCAGAGCTGAGTCCTAGAATATAGGAAGAGCCCCTCTAAGCATACCTAGATCACTTGCCACTTGCCTCTGAACAGCCACAGCCTCCTGCTTGCCCACCTATTTAGAATTTAGGCTGCTTCAGAACAAATGAAAAAAAAAAAAGTTACTGGAGCTTTCATTCTCTTTCTATTCCATGTTAACAGCAGTCAAAATAACATATTTTTTCAAAGTTAACTGTCCAGGATAGTAAAAAAAGGTTTCTTTTTCTTTTTAAAAATGTTCATCCTAATGCAATTTTTCAGTAAATTAAAGAAGGCGATGGCAGACTGAATTAAACAAATCTCTTTCCCAAACTACTCTTGGTCTCTACTCCTATAAGCTTCTGACTTTCCCCTAAGCTCAGGTGAGGAAGATACAGCCTACTACATGCTGTTGGAGTGTAGCTCCCATAATCCCTCACCATCGGAAGAGTTGCACTGGGTTGGACCGGAAGCCCGTCTAATCCAGCATTCTGTTCTCACAGTGGCCAGCCAGATGGCTGGCTCTGTTGGCTAGAGCTGATGGAGCACAGTTCACCGGTCACTGATGGCTCAGTTGCAGTCCAGCCATATCTAGAGAACAACACATTCCTCATCCCTGTGCTAATCTCCGGGAGAACTAGCTGACAATCAAAGCATCTAGTAACATAGACACTATGTATGTGTGTATCGGGGGTGGGGGGGATGGAAGGGGCTGGGCATTGCTAAATGCATTTTAAAGGAAAAACAGTGTGCTGGTTTGTTATGTGATCAAATAGGATTATGTTTGGCATACAAATGTGTATACATAAGTTTGGCAGGTCTCTTTTTGTGATGTCTATCCTGGGCTTCAGATTGACACAGGTATTGAAAATACCTACAAGTCTCCCCCTCACCCCACAAAAAAACAGGCTAAAAAGAAACTAATTTCCAATCTTGAACTTGGCTTGATTGGAGAATGGCATTCCCCCTGAGACAAGACTCCAAAAATTGTAGTTGTCCTATAAAGTGGGAGTGCTAGAAGGAATGCCCCACATCTGATTTCAGAAACATACAGCAAGATGATGGTGAGCAATTCCAGCTGATGAGTATTTAGTGACACATTTTATTCTTCACATTCACAAAAAAATCAGAGCGTACTGCCTCATAATCTTGTTTAATATGCAACAATGTACCTTCTAAATAGTGTTGTGCTGTTACTCATTGTATCAACTAAACCACTGACCTCACAGCATTACTGTGAGGATAAGTGACATAAATATCACAAAGTAATAGTTAATAACAATTCAAGAATGGTAAGATCATAAGCATTTAGCACAAACCTCAGGCCCCGGAATAGGTCAGTTATGTAAAAGGATCTTATATGCCATTATGTTAAATTCAAATGTCAGTAATTTTTAACTACCACTTTGGATATTTCCAACTGCTAGCTGTAATGTTGAAATCTGTCCAATTTAAATCCAGATGCAGTTTCTTAACCCAGTTACTGAAATGTTAAGATGAGGGCAAAAGGACTATTCCACCAGTTCTATTTAAAGGCCTCCATTCCATCATGAAAGTTCTTCCTACTTCAACTTTTACCACCACCAGCAGTTCTAGAAGGCTGTACTGAAAGAGATTAGAGGGGGAGCAGGGCCATTCTACCATCCCTGCTAAAAGAATTAACCCACTCCCCTCCTTTCCCATCCCCTTTTCCTTATGTGTTATGTCTTTTTAGGTTGCAAGCCTGCAGGCAGGGTCTGTCTTCTATAATTGATTATAAGTAAGCCACTCTGAAAGACCTTTTGGCTGAGGAGTACCATAAAAATACTGCAAATAAATAGTTAAAGACAGAAGCAAAGCTTGCTGGACAGTGCTTCTGTCCCAAGTGCTATGTTCCATTAAAAATAATAAGACAAGAGTCCTGCTCAATTCGACCAAAGGCTCTTTTAAATCCAGCATCCTGTTTCCCACAATGGCAAAACAAATGCCATCAGGAAGTCCAAGCAGGGCGTGATAGCAATACCCCACTCTTATTGTTGCCCCTCCCCAGCAGCTGTTATCAGTGACACACCAAACTTAGTGTAATGATATTCAAAGCATCATTTCCTTCTATTTACCTCAGCTGGAAATGAGAAGGCTCAGCACCATGTCATCAAACAGCTCTCTTCAGACCACAGCAAACATTTCACACACTGGATTTTGGAAACTTCTGGGCTGTGCATTAGAAGAAAGGGACATTTTCAGGCTTTGGTTTGATTCACATTCCAGCACAGCATTTGTTTTACGTTATTTTCACATCTGCATACAGAGGTTTAAGTAATGTAAGCACCACGTGTGATAAATTACCGCTAGAGATAAAATAAATCAAGACTGGGCAAAATATAGTATTAAATCATCTGTATTCACAGAGAAGACAGGAACTGAACTGTGAACATTATGAATGTGAGGTAAAACTTGGAAAAGCCTAGCATTTAAAAACATTAAGGTAGATCTTCATTTCCTTCCGATATTATTACAATACAGATGAGTATCCAGTTACACTATTCCTGCTTGTTCCCTAGCCATTTCAGATCCATATTCCTACACTGATGCTTCAGTTGCTTATTTTGTTTCTTTCCTTGCATCACTATTGGAACATAATCATTCATTTTTGTCAAAACTCAAAAGACTTCTTAAACAAATCTTCCAATAACCAAATAGAAAAATGGACCAGTGGTGTAACAAAGTGCTCTTTCCACTACTCTCAAAATTTCTACACTGTGAAGATCAATAGGAGAACTGGTTTGCATACAGTAGGTCCTACAGTAGGTACTGCATCTTCAGACAGATTCCAATCTGCCAGTCAGTCAGTTGGCAATATTAAGCTAGAGAATGATCTGACCTATATGAAGAATTCTCCTGGTTCTGACTGAAGCCTATCTAATCTAGCATTCTGTTCACACAGTACCTATTGCAAGCCCAGAAGCTGGACAGGAGTGTGTTAGCACCCTCCAGATCCTATTTCCCTGCAGTTCCCAGAGATAAAATACCTTTAAAAATAGAGCTAATTAGGTACTAGCCTAATTAGAGAGAGGTGATTAGACAGAAGTACTAGCCCATATGACTAGTAATTACTGATAGCCTGAGTAATTTCATAGAAGAATTACTCTGTGTATGGCATCTTTCCATGTTCCTATGTTCTAGTGATGCTCTGAGTCCAATGAGGACTGAGCATGCTCAGCGGCTAGACAATGTTGATTGTTGGGGCAGGAAATGGGAAACTGAGACATTGTGAAGGGCGCAATAGAAAAGCTTTAAATAAATAAATAAATAAATAAATAAATAAACCCGAGTGGGAAGAGACCGGAAAAGCATATGCTCAATGAGGGCTTAGCTGAGTGGCTGACACTCATCTGGAACACTCTACATTGCAAGCACTACTTGTATAAACTGTATTTAAACTATACTCTAGTTTAAAATTCCACATTTTATGGGATGGATTTGTTATTCATCTGGATTTCCATTCAATTCAAGTGCAAGGAGGGCTGAGTCATATTTGTTTCAAGCTGTGTAAAGACATATATGATAGGAAGATTATCTTGCACAACCTGCCAACCCTCCAACAGCATGCTAACCTCTCCTTCTGTATTTTACTAGGAAGAGAAAGATATAGTATTGTCCTGGATTCAAATCTTCTTATGACCATGAAGCTCACTCAGTTAACCTTGGCTCGGTTGACTATTTGTTGGTCCACCTGTTTGCTACATGCTTCCATAGCTTGCAGTACGGCAAAGGAAATTAGTAGGAGATTCTCAATAATTCTTGCAGAAGCAGAGTCTAAAAGGATTGTGACATTTATATTTTACACATAATTTCTTTCAACTCCAAATACTGCATGAAAATCTCAGAATTAAAGCAATGGTGTTCCCAGTACACATAATTATGTAACTGAAAATGCAATTGGGCTGTCTTGTTGTATTTATCATCTGCTGCTGCTGAGGAGAAAGATGGATAACCTCAGCTTGGATAACCCTGGCCAGTTCTCTCTGGTCCTCAGCTTTGCTGGCAATATCCAATATGATCTGTCTTGGGCTGATTCCACCATGATGAGGTTCAGGTGGAAATGTTGGAAAGCATCCTTCTGAATCAGGTACAGATTCTCCAGCCATTCTGAGGTAGGAATCACGCATGATGGAAGCTCCCATGATTGCTGCACTGTCTGCAGCAAGGTTGGTAGAAAGAGTATCACTATAAGCATGGATGCCTCCATGCAGGCAGCATCTAATACTGGCTCTTTCACTCTTTGGATGGGCTGTTGAGCATCTGGGCTGAAAGACTGTGCCATCTACCTTTGGTACCATTTGCTGGGTATCTAAACAAAGAGGCTGGGCCATATTGGTCCAGGAAGTGACCCATGTCTTTCAAGGGCATGATGGCATCCCTTGATCCTCCAAGATAACCACAGTCTGTTCACAACTCAACAACAATGGGTTCTCTCTATGGGTTGTTTGTTATCCATGTTTGTTGCTTGTCATGGTGTGTTAGTACAACTGGATGTAAATAACACAATAACTCACATGTTAACAATCCATGGTTCAACAACCACCCACAAGCAACCCAGTCTCTGAGAATGAATTATCTTGGTGTCTGAACACAGTCACTGTGTTATACGAGGTGTTTATTTTTCCAGTGTAGTGATATTAATTTTTAGCTGTCAAAAGGTTAAAGAAAGCCAATTTAGTTGATCATGCATTAACTTCCATGCAATAGATAAATAATTTAAGAGAGCGTTTGCATCAGTAAATGTTAAAGAACATTCCAATACCAAGTTCATCCATATTACAACCATATTATGACCTACTCCTAAAAAGAAGCAACTATTGGACATCAACAAAACATATAGGTAACAGAAGCATTAGTGCTATTACACCGTCAGTGGTTAGACAACTTACACAAGCCCTTATTAAAAAGGCAGTGTGGCATCTAACAAACACGAAATAAAAACTTTTGTTGAATAAGAAATCATGGGTTTATAACTTTGGAGACTATTATTTGATCTTGTAGCTCTCATCTTTAATAGCAGAAATAACACTTAAATGCTTTCTTACCTAATTATATGTCAGATGTATACTGTAATATTCACCATTTTCTCAATATGTCTGTTATAGACAGGTTAAGGCAAATGTCACCTGCTGTGAGAGATTACTCAACTTGTATTTAATGTTCTGCAGCTCCTGATGAAGTAGTACAGCTGGAAATATTTACTGCCTTTCTAAAGTTTGTTTTTATAGGAGGCATAAGCAATACTCTGGCCCCACATAAAGAATTTACTGGCCTCCCATTCAATGGCAAGTGAGTAATCTGTACTCTCACTAATTTTAAACTTTTTCAGTAAGTTGAAATCTAAGATCCTTAAAATCTCAACTTTAAGAAGCATTTATGCTCGGGATCCTTAGCAAATTCAGACAGACTGAGGCTTAGTCTGAAACTACCAACATTTGACATAGCAAAGAAGCAGAATCCAAAAGAATAATCTAATCAAAAGGGACTTTAATGAACAGGTGATAAAATTTTGAAGGCACTCATCAAGATGCCAAATACTTCAAACATCCATCAAATCAAGTTCAGCTGTGTAGGTCTGAAGTATAAATCCCATTCTCATTTGCCTCTTAGAATCAGATATAATCCTATTCAGCAAAGGACCTAAAACTTCATTAAAATTCTCACCCACAATCAAATAACCTCAGGCAATATCAACAAATTAGCTAAAACATTAACAAAACATTACTGGCGAATCATTATTTGGCCCATTCACATTGATCAAAGCAATTACATTTAGCATTATATAGAAAATATATTTTATATTTCAAAAACCAGGCATCAGAATTACTAATAACCTATTGAAATGATAAGTCACTTATGGATTAAAACTGTAATCTTTTTAGACTGTTCAAGTATCAGTCACATCTACCTCTTCAACTCAGTCTTTTCTCAACAAAGATGCATTTGCTTTAATCAGTGGTGGGGGTGGTGGGGGGTGTTTTTGCCTTGATAAAAATTCCAAATGCCCCATGTTGGCATTATGTTCTTTTAACCTAGAAAGCCCTTTCTTCTGCATATTTGGATTCTGCAACTCCAACATTCCATAAAGTCACATTAAACATAAAAAATAAAAATGTATCACTTGTTCCTCCACACATACAGACCATACCAGTTTTACAGGAATTACCTACTTTTAAGAGAATTCTACAGATAAATAATTAATATAATACATTTCAAAGCAGGAACTTCAAAGTAGCCCTGGCAAATATCTAATATGTGGATTGAAATGACATGCTAAATATGTGAAATATACTGCTTAGGAAAATTTCTTACACAGATAACACTGTTTAAAATCAGGTTTTCCATACAATAATTATGAAGGTTCATAGGACTTTTTCATATGAAAGAACATATTTTTAAAAGCATGGTTAAATAAATAAAACCATGTTGACCTCTGCAGATAAATTAAAAGACAAATGAAAACTTTTTGACACCGGTGCAATTGAAATCAATATACCAGGTAAGATACACCTTTTGAGAAGATCTTTTAAAACTCTAGCATATACACTATTTAGGAGTATGGAAATAAGAGACACTCACTCCAACCCATTCACGTGCAGGACATAATAGACTTAAAGCACCTCCAACAGATTTCATCCACTCTTTCAAAGGGGTTGTATCTTTCATATTATTTGATTTTGTTTGTTTGTTTGTTTTGTTTTTGGACTGGATTCAAAGGACCAGCAGAGATGCAAGTGCCCTGTTGGACTGCATGCAGCAGGTCCAAGGTTCAGTACCCACAATCTCCAATTAAATGGATCAGGTAGCAGGTGGACTTCTGGCTGAGACCCTGAAGTGTTTTACACAGTCAGAGCTGACAATGCCGCACTAGCTGAATAGACACTATGACCAGATATAAAACCAGGCAGATTCTTAGATTTCCAACCTTAGGAGGAGGACACAACAGAGGAAACGAATGGAGAGGCAAAGGTGACCACAGAAACCTTTGTGGGGATTAGAATTAGACTAGAATACTGTGTCCAGTTCTGGACACCAAGATTTAAGAAAGAGCCAGAAAAACCAGAAAGGGTCTAGAAGAGGGCAACAAAAATGACCTGGGTTTGGAAACATTGCCCTTTGAGAAGAGACTGAGAGGGAGAGACAGAGAACTGGGTACACTCCGTCTTGAGAAGAGATGACTGAGGGAGGCCATGATATCAAGTTATAAATACCTTGAAGGCTGTCACAACTAGGAAGGACAAGATCTCTTCTTGTTCATACCAGAGTGTAGGACACAGCTCCAGTTCTGACAAACCAGACTCAGGCTGGATTCAGGAAATATTTCCTCACCATCAAAGCAATACAACAGTGGAACTAGTTACCTAGAAAAGTAGTGGGTTCTTCCACACTAGAGATGTTCAAGGTGAAACTGGACAGCCATCTGAGTGGGATGGTGTAAATTGGTGTCTTGCTACAGCAGGGGCTTGGACATGATGGCCTTCTTGGCGCCTTCCAACTCTACTATTCTATGATTCCATAATTCTATGATTAACACATGAGCGACCCAGACCTAGGATTCCAGATTAAGAGTTTCATTGTGTGAAAGTAAATAGAAGGCCATCGTTCAACAGTAGAGCACATGAGTTGTGTAAAAAAGATTCCCGATTCGATGCCTGCCAGTTCCAGGTAGGGCCGGTAAAGAGCCCTGTGGGCAAACCCTGAAACCCAGTCAATGGCAGCCAATCAGTAAATTCTACAGTCAACGAATCAATGTTCTGACACCATATAAAACACCCTCCTAATATTCGTACTTCCAAAGTGCAATAGCGTGCTCCCAAAGAAAAGTTTTCAAAGTTACCCCTAGAGGCCACATAGCTCAGTTACTGGAACCACACAGCTTCGGAATCATTTTTTACAGAAACGCCCATGTGAGCGTTTTCTTCTCAAACACGCCACCGCCACCCATCATCTCGACCCACTCAAGCAGCAGCAAGCAGCAGCGTAAACTTTGCCCTATAACAACTTTAGCACAACGTACTTCTGCAATGCACCGTCGACACTGTGGAAGAAAGAACCACCGCTGTTCACTTCAGTTCGTAGAACACTAAAAGCGTTTTACGGCTGAAGGCAAAGCTAGGCTGCTTGAGAGGGCAGGCCCGAGGGAAAGCCCCCGAAGGCGTCCTCCCATCTCCACCCCACGTCCTGAGAGCCGGCGAGTGGGCCTCAAGATAAAGTGCACTTCGTGAAGAGAGAGCTGAGGGGAAAGACTTGGAGAAAATAATGCGCGGGAGCTTCCCCGGGCGAGCGGCGCGCCTTTAATGGCCCGGGCACGGCCGGCCAAGAGCGCACGGCGGCGGCGGCGGGAGGCGGGACGGTCCACCCGCGGCCGGCAACCCGCCTCCGTACCTCGGATCCTGACGGGCGCGAGCGAGGCCTCGCAGCATCAGCAGGAGCGGCGGCAGAGACAGCGACTCTCCCCGACCAACCCCCGCTCTGCTCCGCCCTGTGACTGTGCGAGGCGGGCTTTCGGTCGACGGGCGCCTGCGCCGTCCGTGCCGGTGCCAACGGAGCGGGCGGATCCCGACGGGCCCGGTGACGTGTCTGTGCTTACAAGAGCCCGGCCCGGCTCTGCCGGCCTGGGTTGGGTTGGGTTGGGGCAGAAGACGAAGAAAGAGGTGACGGCGAGGAGAAAAGGGTGTAACGGGGAGGCGCCTCAAGGATTCCGCTCCGTAGGCCCGGGCAGCCACAGACGCGCCGCCGCTCGCAGAAGGAGAGCCCTGCCTGGCCTGCACCATGTTCAATGTGGAGAGTCTGGAGCGGGCCGAGCTCGGGGAGAGCCTGCTCACCTGGGTGAGTGACCGAGGCGCCGAGTGGCAAGTGCCGCCGCCCGAGCCCCCCTCCACGCCGGATCCGTGCTTTCCCTGCCTTTCTGTCTGTCCCTCCCGGTGGTTCAGGGGAGCTTCCTTTCCGTTTGCCTCAGTTTCCTGCCAACCTTTCGGCCCTGTCGTGCCGGGAGCCGGTCTGCAGTTGCAGTCACTGTTGTGTACTTTAAGGTGCCCCGCTCCCTTTTCTTCCAAGCCTCCAGCCCGAGTATGGGCCGCATCCTCCTATTATGTCCCAGAGTGTGCGCCCAACATCCCAAATCTCTGCTTGTTTACTCCGAAGCCAGCTCCATTGCACTAAGCGGGACTTAACTAAAGGCGCATCCTAGACACGGGTTAGACAGAAAAGAAGTCCTACAACTCCCAGCATGCCCTGGCCAGCCATGCTGGCCGGGGCGTGCTGGGAGCTCTAGGACTTCTTTCTAAGCATTTATAGGATTTCAAGTTAAGTAAACGTGCACGCAATAATAGTTCAAACTACTGGTTTTTATGTATATTTAAAATGTAAATTGTGACTGTGACAACTCAGTATTTGAAAATGCACTTTTCCGGGGTCTGACTTGATGTCACAATCTCTTCTTATCAGGGGTTTCTTTAAAAGTCTCTGTTGCCTTACTTTATATGTACTTGATTTCCTTAAATCTCAACAATCCTTTCCCCCATCACTGAATGTACAAACTCATGTGAAACTTGCAAATGCTATAAATGCTATATTTTGCAGTTTGTCTTGTAATTTCTGGAGATAAATGACTCATGCACCACAGTAATTCACTGTATTTCCTACAGCTGTTGTTCCTCTGAAAGTTACTACTTTGAATCTATAAAGTTGGGGAAAGCAAAGTTTTTATCTAGTTATGCTGTATCTAGTTTTCCTAACTTAATTCAACATCTTCTTCAAACCATATTAATTGAGAGATGGAAATTTTTCATCATACACTGTTGTGGTTGGTTAAATCCAGCACTGTGCTAACACTTGTCTACTAACACAACCAGACTTTCTCCCATTCTCTTCCTCCCTGTCACCTGGTGTGCCACACAAACATCTGCTTCAAAGAGTTTCCACTTTTCCAGAGCAGACTTTTGAGGATGTGTTGCAGAGGGTTTGCTGGAGGAAAATTGACCTCCTGATGTTCCACTGATGGAGCTACTTCCAGCAGTAGAACACCAGCTCTTAATATCCAAAATCAGTAGGTCTCCTGGATTCCATTTTAAGAAGGCTTTGTATGAGTGTTTTGGGTGGGGAGAGAAATTATTTCCACAGAGCCATTGCATAGCAAAGCAAAGCCCAACACAACACACAAAGTTATATTGTTGAATATATATGGGGTATAGTGCAACACCTGGGTTATCTGATTTGGCTTGTGTAATATCCCAGGGTATTTACACTGTTGTAGGATGGATTATTCCTGGGTGCTTCTCATCAGGCTGGCTTTGAAACTGTTTGGAAACTTCCACTGCAACATGCTACCCGCTTGTCCGTCATCATGTTCAAGTCAGTGCACTTGTCTATTGCTTCTTTTGAGACATTTGTGCTGGCTGCCAATTCATTTTCAATTCAGGGTGTTGTACTTGATCTTCACTTTCCTAAGTGACCTGGGATCAGAGCATCTTGGAGGGCATCTGCTCACATATGACCCCCCTCTGGGAAGTTAGGATCTTTAAGCGATTTATAGCTTGAATTTTATCTCCTGTGGAGGTCAAATTGACCTCAAAGAGGAGCAGACCTTTCCCATAATAATCCTAATACTTTTCGGTGCTGTTCTCTAAGTTTTTCGATGCTATTTTTGAGCACAGCTCCAGATATTTTTTTTCAAGTTGGTTTTGAATTGGCTGGTCAATTTATTTTGCTGCTTTTGTATTCTTAATGATGGCTAGTATTTGTTTTATTAACATGTATGTTAAAGCATATAGTTTTGTACATCACTTTGGAATGTTTTATGAAAAACAGTATATTTTTTTAAAAATAAATATAATTTTGCATTTATGTAGGTACAAAATGCAAACTATAATTCAAGCCTAGGAATTTAATTAATAGTACAGTATTTTAAACTGAAGGATGATGCTAAAACATACAAATTATTTAAAAGCCCTGGGTGAATTAGAAGGTCTTCACATGGCACTGCAAAGACCATAAAGGTGGTGCCTGTTGAGTCTGTTTGGAAGGCTGTTGTACCCTTGAGCTGGTGTCATAAGCTTAATGACCTACCTGGACATAATGTGTTGGGTCATCTGAACTTAAGCAGCATGCTTTGTCTGAGTAACAATTTTCAATAACCCACCAACAGCCCCTGGAATGTCTTTGTAACCTTAATTGGGTACATACATGTAAGAAAAAAACTTTCAGTTAATCTTGGAGGTTGTCCCAGAAGTTAGGGATAGAGGTGGTATGTCAGGTGTGTTGGATCTAGGCTCTTTAAATTTTTATTTTAAAGGTTATATTCAATACTTTAGGAGAAAACAAGTGCAGGTACTAGATCACTGGTGCAGTGTATTCTTCAAGACCCATAGCCTCTGAAGACATGACTAAGGAGAAGCTGATAGGGTGTAATTATGAAGGTATGCACAAGAGTTTATTAAGCCTAGATTTAAAAATAAAGTTCTGAATGCTAAATGTATACTTGCTATTCTGCAGCTGAATGAATCGAGCCTTTAAATTACTTATATACAGCTTGTAAGTAGCCTCAGACTTTGATAAAGTAAGCAGCACATGGGATCAACCTATCAATTATATTGGCAGGTTTTGACATGACTGTGTTTCCCATGATTAGTATAATAAGTGCATGTAGAGAAAGTTCTTGGTTGTGATACTTTACACAACCAAACTATTTTAAAAAGCATAGTTCAGATAAACCTCTCTCAAGTGTTTATAAAATCTGTGCATACCCATTGCTAAACTCAGTGGAGAAACAATTGATTAACATATGAAAAAGTATGTGATTGGTAAGCAAAACAAAAATCTACAAGGAATACTTTTAAGATAAAATGACTATTGGACTGCAGATGAGTTTGCACAACACAGCAACTAATCCTTTTTATACACTACTTGGTGTGTGTTTATGGAACAACCCATGGTGCTCTCAACTGGCTATTTCATAGCTATATATCACCCCGTCAAGAATCCTGTTTTAAAAGAAAGCTTTACATCTGATAGCCATCAGAAGTAAGCGCTCCTGTAAAGGGAATGGACTGCACTTTTCCACTTTTTGAAGAAATCTTGAGAAAGGGTGGGAGGGTGGAAAAGCTAAAGGGCACAGAGAATTGTCAGGTCCAATTTTAAAACCTAGAGTATCACATTGTGAAGGGGGCAGTGCAGTCACCATCCTGTTTCACAAGCAAAGATCTGCTGGCGGATTTGCTTTGTGCTTGACAGTTTGCCATTTGACAGCTTTGCTTTGAGGGAAAGCAACATAGTTGAAGCCTGGCTTTGTCAGTGTCCATGGATTGTGCCTGTCTTGCAGTAGGCACTTACGAAGACATTGACAGGCAAGACTTGACATCCAGGTAGTTAGGGTTGTGCACTTGTCTTGTGCACAAATTACCAGCTTCCCCCTCCAAAATTACCAAAAACAATTTGCATGCATCTCTGGCACATTTTAAAGTGTGGTGCAGTGGTTGAAAGTGTGAACTCGGGAGATCTGGGTTCTAGTCCACACTCAGCAATGGAGCTAACTGGGTCTGCCATAGACTCACCCCAGAGCTATCTCACAGGGCTGTTCTTGTGAGGATAAGATTGAGGAGGAGAATTACATGGCCACCTTGGGCTCCTTGGAAGGGAAAAATGCAGGATATAAATAAAGAAATAAATGGCATACAGCGACAGCCAGTCCAGTATGCCATTTGGGCTCCTTGAAGGAGTTGTCACTGATTGTCACTTTGGAGAGTACAAAAAGTGATCTCCAGGAAACAAGAAGTGGAGGGAGGAAAGGGGGAAAAAGCTTTGGCAAACACAAAAAGAGTCACGGCCACAACTGGGGAAAGTAGTAAGTGATGTTTGTTCCAAAGTCCTGCTCCAACATATGATAGAACACCTGACACTGAGAGTGGTCTGGGCAAATATGGCCATAGAGGCAAAGGGTTTCCCAAGCACTACTTGCTGCTTCCTGTAATGCATGATGGGGTTGAAGTGCTGGTTTGGATGACATGCCAACCTGTTCTAGGTCTCACAACTCGCAAAACAAGCAGCATCAGTATGGCTTGTTGCCTCAAACAACCCACCCAGTGGGATATTCGTCCAGGCTGACATGGTGTAAAATAACAACCCACCTTTGCAAATACCCACAGTGGGTTGCTGTGTTTGTGCAAGTTAGAATCGTGCATGCCTGTGATTAAAGTGTATTGCTTGAAACACTGGAAAAAGTTTCTCAAAAGTTCTATTACATATACATATGCAATTATGCATATGCAATATACTTCTATTGCAATTATGAAGTATATGTTTTATCTAAAGTAGCTGAACTGTGTTTTCCAAACATATACTTTCTAGATTGAAATTAGAATAAAAGGTGTAACATACTCCATATTGGTTTCATTTTTAAATTTATAGGGAATAGTTTGATGTGTGTTAGTAGAATTTGGTAAGCTGTAAGAAAGAGAAATTGTTTGCTTGGTCACAGTGAAATTCACAAAAAGGAGTCTGTGTAGCATGTTTCTGATATACTTTAGCATGAGTCATTTGATCCGAGCCACTGCCTCTAATTCTCAAGCACTGCTAAAGGTTAAAAAGTTCAAAACATTTTTCTTTTTGTATTGGCATGCTTGTGCTGGGATTTTGGGATCCAGTCCGAACAGACAGATGTTATGAACTTATAGTAAAACTTTCTGCTGAGCATCATATGCCCTCCTTTGTGCATGCTCAATCATGGAGCATTTGTAATAACATATTAGATTTTTGTGAGCTGACTTTTAAAATGGTTTGCTGGTTAAGCATGGGAAGAAATACACCAAGAAAGATACCAAGAATGATCACTGTGTCTGCAGGCTTCCCTCTCTTTTGTAGCTTTATTCAGTACTGTTTTCTTAAAACAATGTTTCCTTTTGCATCTAAACTAGTTTAAATTGTGATTGAAGCAATCCCTACAAGCCAGGTTATCAATTCATGGTGTGATATCCTGGTTTGTAAGGATTATTGAACTATGGTTTCATGGTTCAGATACTACCAACACCCCCCTCTTTGTTTAAAAAAAAGGCTTCAGAAGTACTCAATTAAGGTGCAAAAGTGAGGTACACAAGAAGAAGGTAGAGGGAGACAGAGTGTGCAGGCATGAGGATTATTCCTGGTCTTGGCCAATCAAGGTTTATTGGCCTGATATGGTGACATCCAAGCTACACAAATGAAAGGTTGCCTGTATATGGAGGCCTGCTAGATCTATTATGTTCTCACATCTTGAAATGATCCATGATGGCAAATAATAACATACCAAACGACAGAATATATTTTGCTTTCTGGGGAGCTAACAACAAGTTGTAGAGCAAATAACATGCAATCGGTACTGAAAAGTAGTGTAAAAAGAGCAGCAGACTAGCCTTAAAAGTCATTATTGTTAAAAATCTTAAGCAGCTTTGTAGATGTAAAAAATGAACAATTCAAAGGACTTTTTTTCCAAAAATAAAATTTTGTCAGTTATTAAGTAACATTAAGATGAGGCTTCTTTTCCAAGGTACCATAGGTTAACTTTGATTACATAGGCAAGAAAATGAGTTAAGACTGTACTTCAGCTGAGCTGTTTATACAGCTTTTCATGTCTACCCAAGTGCTCTAACCTGTCTGTGAACATTTTAAGGATTGGTTAGGGTGGATTAAGAAATCAGGATAGGTCAGCAGGATTGTTTAGTTGGATCATACTTCTTATGAAACAATTTAGCACCTGTGTGAAAATGGGCAGACTAAAATTGGTGTTCCCATTCTTTTTCCAAGGTGTTAACTTCTTGCTTTATAAGGTGGAAGAGTGGGGAATCTGAGCCTGGCAACGTCGCTTTGAATTGCGTTTTTTTTTTAAAAATTGGAGATATGTACATTTGTAGATTTCAGTTTCTAAAACTGGAAATTATATTCAGTATAATGTAATAAGAATGACTAAATTTCGGGCAATTTTTGGAGCAACTAATTTTTTTACAGTATAACACATGTGACCCAGGCATTATGAGTATGCAGCGAAGCGTCCTTGGCATTTGTTCCAAAAGAAGTAGGAAGCAGACATCCCTTTGATATTTCAGGTGCTTCCCGTTGATTTGCTGTATGAGGCTAAAAGTAGAATTAGATTTTTTTTTTAAATCACCCTGGCCAAACTGCTCCCCACCCCCATAACATCAGGTAAAACTAAATGGTGTCCATGATGGGGGGAGTACTTGGCAACGTTCTTAACTTTTAGGGAATGCTGAACATTCTCCTGACGTCAAAGGGCATGTGGCTTCTGTCCTTGCTTCCCCTGATGCCCCAGCATTTGGGGATTTTCTGGTTATTGTTGCTAAAGAATGGTTTCCACCACAAAACAATGCTGGCAAGTGTGTTATAACTCTTTAAAAATAAATAAAAGTGGGGCCCAGGACAGAGGCCACCCACCTGGAACTTAGGGCTCAGCCCAGATATAGCAGGTGCTGATACGAGTGCCGAGTGAAGTCTACCTCCTGTGGTGTTGTCATACTGAACCCTTCTCTATCCCAGTCTATAGCACTTGCTGTGGGACAGGTTGTGGGATCATACTGTGTAATGACACAGTGACAGAAGGTCAGTTCCATAAGATGTAATGAAGGGAGAAGAGTAGCTTTACTGTAAATGTAATTACCAAATTTGGCGGAAGGCACCTTTCCCCCCCAGAATGTTGTTTTGCCTCAAGTGTAAGATGAGCTTACATGCTGCTCACATACTAGTCCACTGAACTTTAGATTTATGGATCAAATAATGGCTTACTTTGTTGGGAACAGAGCCCCATAAATATCTTGCCAAGTGGCAGTCAGCTGCTGCCTATCTTCTACATTTTCTGTTTTAGAGAGTGTGGGAGGGGAAAAATCTCTCTCACCTTGTACTGGCCTCTTTCCCCCCCTGCAAATCCTCTATGTGAAATTACTTGTTCATCTAATAGTTACTAATTTGACTACCATAACATGTAGCAATGGCATGTTTTATATTTATTTATATTTGTGTATTTATAAAGTAAACATCTTTGAGGTATTCAGAAAATGTTCAATACATAATTTAAATAAATAAGCTCTAGCTAAATAGAAATTTCAGGTTCAGAGACTAGATACTTCTGAAAATCAGATACTGAGAGGTGTGTATTCATAAAGGCAATAGCAGGGGAGGTTTGTTGCATTTTGACAGGTTTTCATGGATAGGGATGCACACATTTGTCTCTTTAGGTTTATACAAGTTTGTTTTGATTTCATATTAGTTTGCAATCTTTTTTGTTAAAATCAGCACAAACATTAATATAGAGAGAATTGTGGAAACTGGAGGAAAATTTTGTTCTAGTTTACATACTCGTATTTGTTTGAAAATGTCAACTTGACAAATTAGGTCAGTTCAGATTAAGTAGTGAACCAAACAAGTTTCTCCCAACCCTACTCATGGAGACACCTGGATCATCTGTGTGGAAAATAGGATCATGGATTAAATAGGCCTTTGGCAGTGCTTTTCTTATGAGACAAAAGGCAGATCTTGCTCCCCACCCCCAAATTTGCTTGCACTGCAAAAAAAATAAAAATAAAAATGAAGAGTGATTACACATAATGGCTTGATGGTAACCGGAATTAAAATGTGTGGCCCTTGATTAGCCAGGTTATCCCCTTAGAGAGCTAATGTAGTGTAGTAGTCAAGTGCATGGGAGTGGGACTCAGGAGACTAGTCCCCGCTCAGCCATGGAGCCAACTGAATGACTTTGAGCCAATCACAGACTCTCAGCCCAACCCACCTCACAGGGTGGGTTGTTGTGACTGAGAGCAGGAGGACAGAATGATGCAAGCCACTTGTGTTCTTTAAAAAATAAAAAGGTATGATACAATTAAGAAATAAGTGCTTTTAAAAGTCACTGCAGGACCTCTGAAGCTGATTTGATCACGTTTTCTGGAAAAAAAATACTTTCAGGGGAAAACTTGGGGTTCTGAACATGTTGTGTAAATGCACTAGGGAGCAACAGTCTATCACTACTGTCTGCCATTGTCCCTCGCCTGTATTTTAGTGTTTGAGAAAACATGTTTTCCTCTTTACACTTAGCATTTCAGAATGTCACATACATTATCAGTTGACTCAGATTGATACCTTGAGGATAGTTAGCATCTTGCTTAGTACTAATATGTATATGAGTTGTTCCTGAACAAAGAATTAAATTGAAGTATTAGCTGCAGTCAGTCCCTACCTAAATAAGTCTTTCCTCTAGATCCTATGCAGATTTTATTCATTTATTTTGTTGAGGGAGGGACAAGGATAAGGAATAAGATTGAGAGAGTGAGTGTATTGGCTCCTGGCTACCCATTGATTTCTACTGAGCTAAACAACCCATGGATGTTCTGTCCCTGGTTGGTTTTCATGATGTCTAAATGCAGAACTCTGGGGGAGTTGGAACACATATGACTGGTTAGCAGCCTGCATGCTCCTCTCTCATGCTCATTCACAACTACCCAAAGTTTTAAAAACAGCAACAGAAAACTGGTTAGTTGTGTTGTCTAACTTTAATCCTTGCAACAACAGCTTTGCAGGTTTACTCAATGTGTAAGAGGACTGCAAGTCTTCAAGCTATGTTTTCTTGAGGCAATTTTATATGCCTAACATCATCAGTGCACATAGTGCTTTTTTGGGCCACACAGATTTAAAAATACTAGTCTCTAACTCCATATGCTTACGATCAAAATTCATTTACAGGTACTGAGAAAAAATGGCTTTGTTACAAGAATAGGTCTTGAACCAGAACTTTACGGCCACTATACTTAACCAGCTCGTAATATACAGTTTTGGTTAGTCATTCCAATATTTTCTTCCTTTGAGCTAAACTATTTATTTTTGTTGCTTATCTATGCTATGCTTTGTAGTTGATAGTAGTCGCTTTGCACTGTTTTTAAATCTCTTGCTGTGCTAGCACAATGCAGTAAGATGTAGCATGACATGGAGAGCCAGTGTGGTGTAGTGGTTGAGAGCCTGGGACTGGGACTGGGACTGGATCTGGGTTCTAGTCCCCGCTCAGCCACGGAGCCACCTAGGTGACTTTGGGCCGGTCACAGACTCTCAGCCCAACCTACCTCACAGGGTTGTTGTTGTGGGGATAAGATGGAGGAGGAGAATGATGTAAGCTGCCTTGAGCCCTTTGTAGGAAAAGGGCAGGATATAATCGAAAAATAAATAAATAAATGACTAAATATGTGTGTTCCTCTTCAGATCCAGACATTTAATGTTGAAGCACCATGCCAGACTGTAGAAGATTTAACAAATGGAGTCGTGATGGCCCAAGTCCTTCAAAAGATGTAAGAAAACATTTATATTGTAAATGTATCCTTTTATTTGATTGATTTTGCTTTCAAACATGGAAAAAAATTATAAGCTACAGTCTTCTTGGACAGAACAAATGCACAATTGTGAGCCTTTTGATGTTGAGATGGAATTTTAGTAAGACTATGAATTGCAATATTTTGATACATCACTTCAGTAGTATTCTGCTAAAATACATGATGTCTTGCAGGGCAGTATGTATAAATAAAGAAGATCCTGCCCAGAGGAGCAGACAATCAAAATTATGACAGTAGGAAATGCCATAGAGGAAGGGAGTGAGGGAGGAATGGGCCATCTGAAAACTTGCAACTTCTTATACACAAGCATTTTATTTATATTATTTTATTGTATTTTTAATCCACCCAGTAACAAATTATCCTCTGGGAGGATTACAAACAGGAGAGAGATCCAGTGGCTCTGGGACATTGGCTGGGATACTTCATAGGATAAATTCCCAGATCCAGGGTCCAAAACAGAGCTCCAACATTGCAGCTGGGAATCCACACTCCAGTTCCCATTACCCCACAGCTGATACATATCTTTCATTTCAGAACTATGCAAGTGGCCGCTCTGAGTTTGGGAGTTCAACCTTGGAAAAGCAGTAAAAAGTGCTTTCTGTGATATATCCTGTGCCTCTGCAGCTTCCTTCTCTCTCTCCTTCTGTGGTACCCGAACTAGATGTTCAGAAATGGTCATTGAGCAAAAGTACAGAGCAGGAGATTCAGGGAGGCAAACAGCAGCTCTTCTGCTCTTCCTGGGAAACTTGTAAACCTCTGACTTAGGGGACCTATGAGCATCAAGGGAGCAACCCATAGGATTGTGCCCTAAAATACTAAAATGCAAATGAACAGCTAAAACTATAAAAGACAGAGCACATATTTTAAAGAATAAAATACTTTGCAAGGCTGTGAACAGCACTAGAATAAATAAAGATATATAAAACCAGATGTAAAACTAGATTTCTAAGGGCACAATTTTATAAATGCTTAGACAATAAAAATCCTATGAAGAAGCTGTAGGACTTCTCTCTACCTACTCATGCACAGGAGAAAGATGTTTGGAGGAGATTCCAAATGGTGGGGATTCTATAAGAAGGGCAGCAGAACTGAGAAGGCTTTCTTTCTTGTAGCCAATCACATAGGTTTCTTTGACAAGGACACCTGGAGGAAGGTCTCCAGTAATGACCTAAGGGTCCAAGCACATCTGTATGGGAAGAAATATTCTGTTAAAAACTCCGGTACCAAGTTGAGCCTCAGGTGACTGCCATGTATCTAGGAGCAACCCCTACCTATACACCTGATTTCTCCAGAAAAGGCTGAACACCATCCAGGCAGATAAATCTCTTGCTAACTCTGTCTCTGTCTTGTCTGGATTTTGTTTCAGTTTGTGGTCATCATCCAGTTAGTTACTCTGGTTAGATACCAATTTACAACATCCACTGCCTCATCTAGGTTAGCTAGAAAGAAGAGCTAAAGCTGATAAAGAGGTAAAGCATAGTAAGGACACTTCAGCCCCCATTCTGGATATCCTCCCTTAGCAGTTACATGCAGATATTAAATAGTGTGTGGGATAAAAATGGAGCCTTGTGGACCCCTATAACATGATTTTCACAGAGAGAACAAAAATCTTCTAACCCCTCCTTCTGGAAGGACCATCAAATTAGACTCAGAACCATGGTGAAACGGTGTTCCTAGCTTCCAAACCAGACACCTGATCCAGAAAAGTACAATGGCTGATGGTACTGAAGGCTACTGAGAGCTACAAGAGAACCGTCAGGGTTGAATTTACATTGTCTCTTAACAAAGGTTATCCCACAGGGCAACCAAAGCACTTTTTGTCCCAGAACCAGACACAAAGCCAGATTTTGCAAAGTTTATATGAAAAAAAATATTTAAAACCAGCACCCTTCCCCCCTGTATATTCAGTTAGTAGTTGTACTGTAATGAGAAAAACAACAGGACTGGTATGACTGTTTGTTTAATAATGTCTCCATATTGCTGTCCTTCCTAAGTGGCATTGGTAATTATTTTGTTTATTGGAGACAAGTCATCCTTTTGCCCCGGTCTCCGTTAGCCTCTCGGTGTCATGGCACTGTCAAGGCAGTATTGGGGGAAATGCTACAGCTTGTATAATATGCATTCTGTTCTAAACAGAGGGACTCTGTTTCTTGCAGTATTAAGTCTAGCATCTTTCAAGGATATTAACATCGCTCGAGGATGACTAAACAGTAACCGTTTCAGCATTTCTAGTTTTCTAATGAGGCTATACTTTTTTTAAGGACTGAACACAGTGAAAATATTTAGAAAATTTTATACAATTTCCTACGTCTGAGGAGGAGGGAAAGGTAATTCATTGAATGGGAGGCAGCTATAGCCTTGTACCTAAGAGCAAGCCCTTCCTGAAAGCCTCTTCACCTTGAGCCGTATTGGGAAACAGCTCAGAACTCCCTTACTTTAAAGAAGAGATGCTGCTGCCTTCACCTAACACTTGTTTCCTGACAGCGATATTGATCCATCTAAAGGGGCAGAAATCTTAGGTAAAGGAGAGGAATGCCTTTGCATCCGATGTGTTTATTTTCTGAGTGGCATGGACACACAAATGAGCTGCATTTCAATAGGACTGAATTGTGCAGCTGCAGTAAGAGTATACATGAGACAGAAGAGACAGGCATGGCGAGTAGAAGGAAGCCAGAGACTAAGTTAAGGAAAGATGGAGCAAAGCTATCTAGAAAAGGATACAGTTATCCATTCAACAGGAACCCAACTTTTGAGCCTTATTTCAATCCTCAAAGTAGTGAATGTTTTGTTAGCAATATGGAGTGCATAAAGTTATAGTAATTTGTATTATATGCATCAAAAACTTTATTTTCTGGACCGAGTGCCACAAATGTAAATAAAATTAGGCTAGTCATTCCTTAAACTGACCACACCAGGCTTGTGTGTTGTTGTCGTCGTCGTTGTTGTTGTTATTGGCACCACATTTATGCCTTCTTTTTCAGGCATCTTATTATGTAAGAATTACTGCTGTAAATTGAGTTGTACTTTTGGTAATTGATTATCAAAAATCTTTACTAGCACTATATTAGGAATGCAGAAAGTAAATTAAAAAATCAAATGTTTACAAATCAAAGAGTGGTGTGTAAAATTAAAATAACTTCTTGGTCAGTGGAAATCAGTAAGAAATATGAGATAAACGGGCAGTCATACGTTTAATCAGGTGTACCAGAGCACAAACTGTGTGGTTGGTAAGTGAGGAGTTATGGTAACCTGAACTTCGGCTCTGCATGTGTCTGATCTTGCTGTGGTCTCCATCTACTTGTCCGACAATCTCTCTACCTGAGCTGATGAAGGTAGTTTCTCAAGTCTGATGTTAAGAATGGTTGTCCAAGAGAATTTGTCCCAGTATATCACTGGATCATTGCATGTTGTAGATCATATCCTGGATCTGGTATTCTAACTAAGGAAATGGTGATTTGGATGAGGGGGCCTGCTTCATAGTCAGATCATTTACCAGTCATGTTTAGATATACTGTGGCCACTTATTTCCATGGAGTGTTGGACTTGTTAGAGTGATCTGCTTTCAAGGCCAATTAATTCTTGAGAGTTCTTATGGAATTTCCCGTTGACATGGTTAGTGTTTTTTTTCAATGATCTGCTTCCACTGTGGAATGTGGAAATGACTTGGGCAGTTGGTGTAATTTTTCCTAATAGCCTTTTCTCACCGAATAGAGCTCATATGAATGCTTGGTTTATTGGAGAGTTAGGAAGGCTAGTGTACATGGGATGACAACTGGTGGAACACTCAAAATGGGTCTTATTAAATCCAGATGAAATCTCATCCTAGAGCAGGAATGCACCCAAGGACTGATTTTCATTTTCAAGAAGCTCTTGAAGACCACATTCTAGTAAAGGCTGAGGGCTAGCACCAAAATACCACAAAATACCACAGTATCACTGTTGGTATTAAGCATTTGGAGAGGCGTGAAGCACACATATACCAGCTAGAAAACTACCAAAGTGTCAGTGCTTGGAGGAAAGGTAGTGAGTAAAGGTTTTCTGAGTGGTCTGCAGCTGCCTTCTACTTGTTAAATATTCCTCAGGGGCCAACTGTGGGATGTTTTCCTAGTACTTCAACAGTATGTATGTATGTATTTATTTAGGATATTTGTATGCCGTCCTTTGCAAAAGCCTCAGGACAGCTTACACAGATAAAATACAAATATCTAACATAACATACATAAATTAACGACTCACTCTGGCTGCAGTAAAACTGTTCACATTCACAGCACGTTGGATGTCACTCTCTCAGCCATAGTACCAACTTCAAAATTATGCAAGACAGTTGCTAGTATTTGGACATGCTGCACCCAGCCGAATTGGATGAAGGGATCTGTTTCTCGAAAACTTATCTCTGATTGGGGATCAGTGTGTACCAGAGAAGAGTACATGACAAGGTCAGTACTACAAACTCTGACCTTCATGTTAGTACTATATGGAAATGTGTCTTCCAAATGTGTCTTACATTTGTACTTTTCTCATGAGAAATTTCATAAAAGTGACAGTAAACATAAAGCCATCTGTTGTAGAGATGAGGAAACTGAAAGATGGAGGAATAATACTTGGACAGTAGCCCTTTTTATATCCATTAGAGCTTATAGTATTGATTTAAATAGCCAGAATTATGCAAAATGAGAATGAGTTAGATGCAAATGCATTGCTTATCCTTAGTCTTACAGCAGACTTCTTAGGAAGCAGCAATAGTTGAGGAAATTGAATAGCAATATACATAAATGGTAATATACATGAATAATAATTCTATTGTTTATAATTTAGAGAAAGCATTAGTGTAGCCTTTATGCTTAACCTTGAAAATGCCAGTATATATAGTTGGAGAATAACTTTAGCAGTTTCCCTTTCATGTAATAAGAATATGCTAAATTTATTTTGCAGATTCATCTAACAGATTCATCTGTGGA